CACTTTTATCAACCATTATGTTTTGATACGTATATGTTTGATATTTTATGAGATCTAATTTTTAAATATTATTTTATATAGTGAAAATGTCAACCTTGCCAAACTTGAATTTGTGGCCCTTGATATCACGGGAAAGAATTATTTATCATGGGTGTTAGATGCTGAAATACACCTAGATGCTGAAATACACCTAGATGCTAAAGGGTTTGGTGAAACAATTAAAGAGGCTAATAAGGAAACACCTCAAGATAAGGCTAAAGCCATTAATATTGCAACAATGGACTTTTTGCATTATTCATCACTCTTATTTGACCATATAATATGATTTATACATTAAGCAAAATATAGTCATGTGAGATGTTGTTGGATTCATCTCATAAAATACTTTCACAATATCAACTTTTTATAATTTTTACTCTTACACAGTTATAGATATTTAGCATATAAAATGTGCTTTAAAGTGCATAATTTTATCCTTGTTGCAATATTAATAGAAAGGAGGAAATATGTTGCATTACATTTCATATGTTAACTTTAGTTTTATTATTATGTTCTTTATGAAAAAAGATTGCACTTTCTTCTAGAGCAGACAAATTACAATGAGAAGATGGTGGGTCAACAAATGGAAAATACGAACGTAGTTTGACCAACTATAGAATTTGTTCCTCAAAAGAGGTGACTTGACTAAGCCATAACGCACTATATGAAAATAATAAAAAATAAAGTTTTCTTTTTCTTTTCTTTTCTTTTGTGTTTCTTGTGTTGCTCCAATCAAAGTTTAGAATTTTGATCAATTTCAAAGAGGCAAAGTTAAAGGTGCATTACAATCTCTGGAAAGTTTACCTTCTTCAAACCAAAAAGTTTTCTATATACGATCACCATCAAGTGTATAAATTACCTTGCACGATTGATGTTAGCTTTTGTTCATAGTTCATCATTGCTCATATATGCAACTTTCGCGCCACGAATGTGTAAGTTTATTTGTACTTATTATACTTTAATTATCATCATTTTGGTTTCAATAATTCAATGTTACATATGGAGGGAAAATTTGAACTAGAACCTGGGTGGAATTTACGGTAGATATTTTTGAGCTAAATTTGATAACTCTATTATTAATTTATTTAAAATTATTGTTAACAAAAAACCACTATTAACCCTCCCTTTAAGAGAATGAAAACTTTTTTAATTCTACAATAGCAATTAGATGCATGTCTAAATTACTTAATAAATGAGTAACGGACAACTATTCAGGGATTATAATAACCTCGACAAATATATTTCTCGCCCTTTTAAATTAATCTTTTTGTCTATTCATATACTTGTCTACTCTTAGGATGTTTTGTAAGCTTTTGAGATAAAAGTCTTTTAGTTATTATTGGATAGTTTTAAACAAATAACTAATTCTAAAATGAAGCCAAAGTGCTAAGAATATAACAATAGTTCATCAAAGATAATCATTTTTCCAATAAAAGTCAACTCCAAAATGAAAAATATAATTATAAAATATGAAGCTCAACTTAATTTAGTGCATTATTTATCTTATAGTCATTAAAAGATATACAAGTATTGTTGATGATTGTGACAAATAATAGGTCAAAGATTCATAGACTTGAAAAAAGAATATGGATAAAAGCATATAATCAGCCTGCCCAACATATATAAATGAAGATTATATTGGAATAATTAAAAGTCAAGGACAAATCTCTAATTATCGTAGATTCAAAATTAATGATGAGTCATGACCCATTTGTTCAATGTAAAGGTAAACCAAATTGCAGCAAATTAAATTATCCAACGAGAAATAGAATTTGAAATAGGAAGTGCATTTGCTTTTTGTAGTAAAGTCTAAAGTGATATTCCCTCAATTTAAGTTTTGTTTCCATTCTTTCTGCCTCTCCCCGAGCATTTTTTTGTTGTGTTGGTGCTCTGACCTTCTACATTCTTCCATTTCTTTTCAAGACATGGATGAACAAAAGTTTAGGCCTTTTCCTCAAAGGGAAAAAAAGGTTTTAGAACTTACAAATAATGTCTTATTATAGTCTCATGTGTTGCACGATTTTGTTATTACTCTATATGATTTTTTAAAATAGTAGTGTACTAGCATACGCTATTCTTAATTTTTTGGGGGTTGCGTGATCACAATTTTAATACTTCTTTCGTTTTTTTTTAATTGACACGTTTCTTTAGTCACGTTTGTCAATACACAAATTCAACTATTAATATCTTTAATTTAAAAATTATAAAAAGTTGATATTTAGAAAATATATATTGTGATGATTCTAACAAGATCTCACATCACTATATTTTTCATTACATATAAATCACAAAACACAGTCAAAGAAAATTGTGCGAATAGTGCTAAAGTCAAAACGTGTCAACTAATAAAAAAGGAGGTAGTATATTTGTGAGAAGTTAGATGTCTTGAAACTTTGAGAAACAAAAATAAAAAAAATTTATGATAACACGAGCAGTTTTGATTGATGGCTGATTTGACTAAATTATGACTTTATTTGTACATTAACCCACAAGGAAAAATTGCACGAAGTATCAAATGAGGTTTATGGGATAATTTTCATAATTTTTTTATTACATAATTAAAGATATTTAGTGATAAAATATCGCACATAAAACCGATAAATATGATGTAATTTTTTTATTTTTTATTTTTTTTTTATTTTTTTCTGATTTGATAATTTAGATCTGTTATACGAACTTAAATTATTACTGTAGAAGAGAGCACTAGGAGAAAACTTATTTGAAGCATTTTCATTACTCATAGTTAGCTGCAGTTTTACATGGGCTAAGAACCGTGGTCCAAATCTCCAACCAGCCTGTACAAAAGCAAAAAAGCCCAACAGTTTAGATTTCCATTGAGTAAAGGGCTCAACCCACATGGTTTTTATTATTGTGGAAAACATAATACTCCGTTTAACCTGTTTTATCTTTACAGAAAAAAAATATGCAATTGTTTTTATTCATATCTGCTAATCCAGTAATTCATATACAAGGATGTTATTTGATCAATGGCATTCGAGTTGGGCCGTTACCATGTGCAAGCTCTTGGTTCTTGTATGATGGTGGTTAACTGGATATCTACAACACTTCAAGATAAATGGAAGCAATATTCAATGTCCACAGTAATCATGCATGAACAGCATTATCCATCTGCAGTTTACGCCATTGAGTTTAATTAAGTGTTGCTAATGCTGCACTGTTGTTGATTCGTGAAATTTATAGTGAAACCTACGGTTTGTGAAAAGGAGAAATTAAGATAATAATTTAACCTTTTGATCTTGTGGATGTACACATGAAGATTGTTTAAAATAGACGAGGTTTATAGTGATCAAGAGACACTTACAGGTACCGAAATGACTTCAGATGCCAAGAGCCGTTGGAATTAGTTCTGAAAGTTAATTATTGTAAAGATTCAGGCTGATCAGATTTGTCAATTCAGTGAGGTTGTTTCTACATTCTCTGCCAAAGCTATCCACAATTACATAAAAAAATTATCAAGAGACTGCACAGGAAACCGGTGCTTTTTTGTGCCAGACAAGGTAAAAGGGTCCCTTCAGATGTATTGAAATTAGTTTCAACCATCTGACATCTAAACTGTTACAAAATCAATAGAGATGGAGTTGGCCTTGAGGGTTTGCAATCAAAAATTGAATTCCTGAAATTGCAAAGTTTATTTTGTCAGTTTCTGGACTTGGTTAACCAAGCAGCCATTAGAGATTATGCAGTATTCACTTACATCGTCAGCGCTGTTGCAAGTAATATACCAATATGAAACCAAGTGCACGAATTGACCGAGTTTGCATCCCAACTATGCAGCACGTTGTTTGGGTCATTTATATTTCCCATCTATCAGTAAGTACATTTTCAGTTGAAATTAACAATCATTCCTTTCTTTATATTTGCGGAGAATTAAATCTTGCAGGGTAGGTTCTATTTGGCATAACTTCAATTTTTACATTCACAACAGTGAAGGCGATGAAGTGTGCGAGCAGGAGTACAAAATCTCATCGAAAATTTACCTCTTATAAGATAAAAGGAGGTCCCGAAATCTGCAATCTGCATGTTCTTCTGTTCTATTATACCAGGAGTGCCGGACTTCGGAGTGTTTAATAACTTGTTTGATTAGATTAATAGCTAGCACAAATTGACATATCATTTTACAATCTTTGAACACTCAATTCTTTGACTTAAGACTTCAAGAATAGCAAAAAGCAACCTAACAGCAAACACCAAGTCATAGATTACAGTGAAGCCTTTACCCTTGGCTAATCCACCTGATAAGCACAGAACAGTTATCCGGCAACAACAACAACAACAAAAACAAAGAGCATCTCATTCGATCAAAAACTCGAGGGAAAGATGGAAAATCATATGCAAGAATCAAAAAAAACCACAGGCGGGATTTAATCCCTGCCTTCTTTCTCTCTGGTGTAGCTTCTGATAAGAAAATTTTCTCTCATGCAGCAGAGCTGATTGTTTAAAATAAAGACATTCCATACTAGTCAAAAACATACCAAATCAACTACACCTATTAGAATTCTTACAGCTAGGGTTTCTCATATGATAATGTATTACAAGGTTGTTGAAAATCATGATAATTCTAACATGACATTCTCCAGCTTTAGCCAGATGCATAGTTTCAGTTCATATTATCAGACCATTTCCTTTTTCTTGCCCCCGTTGCTTCTGACATCAAAGGAATGAAAAAGAAATTTTCAAGTCATGCTTACCAGTATGGTAGAACAGCATCATATTTTCGTACTCAGCACACCCAGGGAGGGTGAAAAGCTATGCTACTAAGACTCGACTGCAAATATCCAAGTTACCTGAAAAGTGAAAACTTGGACGCACTATTGGCTTGGAAAGCAGCAAACAAGTGTTTCAATAATGTATTCCATAGGAAAAAGAAAAAAAAAATGTATTCCATAGGAACTCTCACTTGAAAGGAAAACATTACTATGATCAAAATTTCATACAAGTCATTCAACAGAACTTATTTTGTTTATTCAAATTCTACTGTTCTTAGCAGTGACTTCCTTAATTCTTCTTTATCATAGTTATTTAATTTTTTCTTTTTACAGCTATTACGTGGCCGGTATGGGAGTTACATGAACTAAAAATCTCATCTGAAATGTCATCATTCTATGCTAGAAGCAACAATCGCATAGATAATGATGTAGTAGACAAAACTGATTTCAAAATTGGAAGAAAAAAATAGATCTCCACAGCAAATTCAAAATATTTACACAGCACGGACTTATTTCAACCGAATGGAGCACCATTGATCTTCACAAATCGTCCTTTCACTCTTTTTCGCGTATCAGCTCTTGCCTTTCTTGACTCATAACGTATATGCTTCTCATATCTATTCATTCAGGAAAATCAGAGTTATTAAAGGGATGCACAGACAGCCAGGCCAAATTAAACGTTTAAAATACAAGAAAAATAAACGACGGGGAAACATGTACAAAGTGTTAAGTGTACCTTCTTGTTTTCTTCTTCTCCTTGTAACGTTGCATGGCGTTGCCTCTATTCTGTGCCAGAATTTCCATGTCAGCCACTGTTTTGACTGCATTTAGTGCGTTATCGCCTCCAAGAAATACAGATTCCTCCATAAAGTGAATATCTGCGGAGCCAACACTTTTAGTTTTTCCAAAAACTGAACCCGAAGATGGCCTTATGATAGGCATATTATTGCTCTCTGATGTAGCTGGACCCTGGCTTGCTGCTGAATTCTGCATGTTACTCTGTAGTGACAAATCACAATTTCAGTAACATCACAATTAAACAATTAAGAGTATTATATATCTAATTAAAACAGATAGAAAATTCTCCTAAAACACTAACAACGAATGCAGAATAAAAAAATAATAGATTAATCATATAGAATTCCACAGAGAAGGATAATGTTTTTTAAGAAAGCTGAAGCATGTAAGTTTAAAAATTCAGTGACTTTGAAATGGCTATACATTGAACCTAATAACTGCAGTCCAGAAGGGGATGTCTTACATTAAAAATTCGGATATCATTCGGAGTGGTGGAACAATTCATGTCATACATGTCCCCTAAGATCTTTGAATTTGCCAAACCAGTATCTTGTAGAAGTGAGTTGTAGCTGTTGATCATAAATCCCACATCACTTTCACGGTAACCATCATCCAATCTTCCAGATTCTTCATGATCTCTCATCCTTCCTGAGTTGAAATCCCATATCTGCAGAGTGAAAATACACATGATTATTCATTTGAGCAATTGAGTGATGAAAAAACAATGTACTATGCACACTTATCAAGTTACCAAGCAGAAGCATAACACCAACATAACCAATAGAAATATCCTAAATACATTTGAGCATAGCTACCAAAGATAATCGCATCCTCTAGGATTCCTGAGATGCAACTGATGATTAACAGCAAACCAAAGCTAATCAAAGTATCAAACTCAATTTATATAGGAGGCAAACTGTGAACTTAAGTCTAATCACAAACAGCTACTATAATCTAACTCACAATGGTGACAACATATTAAAGCTAATCAAACTTCAATTATTATAAATGGCACATTGTGAAATCTAAGCACACTCCACTACTATACTCTAATACTTTCAAAGGCACACAACAAACTAAAGCTAATCAAACTCAATATACTCCGTATATAACAGGCACATTGTGAATTCTAATCACAAACAACTAAAACTCAGCTATATAAATGGCACTTGAAGAGTTGAAGTCTAATCACATAAAACTACTATACTCTGACACTCACAAAGGTGTACAGCACATTAAATAATCAAACTCAATCTATGTAAATGGCACATCACAAATTCTAAGTCACAAATAACTACTATACTCTAATACCTACTTGGCCATCCGAATTCATTATTTTAACAAAGAGAGGAAGATAAAGGGGGCAACTTTCTAGTATGTATGTACTTGGTATAGCTTATAAAATCTTTCTTTGTTTACAGTTAAAGATGAATTCTTGAGTACTGGAAAATTACAGTTGAATACTCAACAATTTCAAAAAAGAGGGGCAGGGAGGAGCCTAATACTACATACACACTATTCTCACTCTACAGTCAAACATACATACATGATACATACATAACATAAAATGGTCACAAATTAAGCTGAAATCCGAGCTCGATCTCTTTATAAACACATGAAAAGCATCCTTACTAATTCAGGCAAGTTTACTGAATATAAAGTGAATTAATCCTACTTAATCAGGTGTATTCTTACTTAATCAGGTAAACCTACAGAGGTCAAAGATCATCCTTACTAATTCAGGTAACCATTCCAAATGAGGCAAACAGCACATTTCCCAAATGAATTGAATATACAATAACCAATCTAAAAAGTAAACCAATCTCAAATTTAAATTAGCAAAAAAAAAAATCATTAAAAAATTAGAAAGTAATTAAAAACTAACCTGTGTAGTAGGATTGGTGGGACTAGCATCCCACATCACATTTCCAGCTGCCGGACCATCCACATTATTATTATTATTATTATTATTATTATTATTATTATTATTATTATTATTATTATTATTATTATTAATTGTGTTCAAACCCATAAAAGATGAGAAATTAGCTTCTTCCTGTCCTTGCTGCTGACATTGAAATTGGTTTTGAATAAGATTATAAGTAGTAATCCCATCATTATTATTCGGTAATTGTAAAATATAATCATCATTATTCGCAACCACAGCAGGAACAAGAAGATTGTTAATGTTATTATTGTTATCAACATCTTCATCAGCATCATCACAAGACGAATCTCGACGACGTCGTTGAAGGTGCAAAAGCTGCTTAATCACCGCCTGTTGTTTCTTCGCATTAGAAGATTTCTTGATTAAGCCATTAACAAACCCTAAATCATGATTAGCGTTATCATCAAACCCCCATGGAAAACTCGGCCCCACATTGAGGTGGTTGTTGTGATGAGCTGGCACCATTAAATCCGACCAAGGATCGTGAGTGACGTCACCCCCATCAATGAAGAAAGCGAACAGATCATCATCGTCAACCACATCAACAACTGATTTGTTGTTGTTGTTGTTGTTGTTGTTGTTACTGTTTTTGCTGTTGTTGAGTTGTTTCTTACTATTGGAGATATCGAAGCCGAGGAAAGAAGAGATGTCGGAGGCGGTCGGACAGCCGGAGAAGCCGTCGATAGCGGCGGAACGGTCGTGGTTGGCGGTGGACTGGTGGAGATCCCAGTCGCAATCCTGACAAAAGCAAAAGTTGTTGTGGGTGAAACATTTGACGGTGGCGGGTTGGGACCCACAAGCGTCGCAAAGGAGGTTACGGACGTGTTTCTTGGAAAGGGTGTTCGCGGAGTGAACGTGTTGATCACATAATAAGCAAAACTTGGCGGAGTCAGCGCGGCAGTATAGAACTGGCGTTTGTTGGTTACAAAAATCACACAAGTTTTCATCACTATTACGACTATTATTATTAATATTATTATTGTCGTTATAATTTGTAATTGGATTTTGAGATTGATTTCGAGTTGTGTTGGTAATTGTATCTACATTTAATATCTCTTCTTCTCCCACTAATCCTATTTTTGATGATTTTCCCATTTTTATAAGAAATTTGGGTATGAAGAAGAGTAGGAAATAGGAATGGAAGGGTGGGTTTTGTGGGAGGAAAGAAAAGGAGAGGAGGAAAGGGGGAATTAATTAGAGAATTTTGAGGGAACCAAAAAAAAAACAAAAAGAGAAGGGAAAAGAGTAAGTATATAGTCTAGAAATAAATATGAATTTTTACAAAATGCAAATACTCCTTTCTTTGAGTATAAAAACTTTCCCTTTTTAAGGCTGAGGTGGATCATCGACTATGGACTGTGTTGCTATGATATACTCACATGTCATATGCCATTTCCATTTTATTGTGTGTCATATTCTCACACACATACATACGTTGTACATCTTTGCTTACACTCTGTCGGTTTTATGCTATAAATAAATAACGGTTTTGATTAAATTGTTGTTTCGTATATGCATCTAATAAACAAGACAAATTGTGAGTTTGAGTGTACTATGCATGACATACTTGGATAGTTAGGTGCATAGCGTATACCATGTTTAATATTTTCCTTGTTTCTTTAAATTTTAAATAATGTGAATTTTATGTTTGTTGATTTCATAACATTGATTATCAATTTTTTTTTTTTTTTTTTTGAGGAAATGATTATCAATACTCCTTTTCTTTCCTTATATTTGCCTTTCTTGGAATATTTCATTTGAAGAGAAAAGCTTGGCCTATATTGTTCATTTATGTGTTATCTTGTTTAATATGTTTTAGCGTATTTTTTTTTAAAAAAAAATCTTTATTTTTAGTTATATGTAATTGAAGATATTGTTGCTCATAAAAAGATATGCATTGAATATTATGAATTTATAAATATTCGTCAATTAGTTATGACTAGATGGAAACCCGTGCTATGCACGGTTTTTTCATCTAAGATTTTTAATTATTTGATTTATTATATTTAATAATTTCAGACAAAATTACAAAAGTTTAATATTTATTTATTTTTACTATAATTTATAATGAATTTTTTCAATATAAATAAATTGTAAATATGAAATTTTTTCCGTTATATAAAATCTTTAATGTGAAATGATAAATTTTTAATAATTTAAATCCTAAATCATTATTCATTGTTTTATCATATCTTTTATGTCGATAGAATCACCAACCTCGTCCACAACCAACCTAATACATCAATGGATAAATTGAACCTTGAAATGTTAGCCAAACTGAAATTGATATAAATTAAATCTTTACATTCATATAAAATAAATCAATATATTTACCAATAAATGAAAAATTGTTGCGATATAAAATCAAATCTATGCATTGGAATTTTTTCATCATCTATCTCCAAAAATAACCAAAGTCATCCATATATTAAGTATACAACACCTAATCGTATGCCATTACATAAACAAATAATCGTTAAGTATCCTAAATAAATACAATATAACTAATAATTACAAATATAAATTTAAACATAAGATTTTAAAAATTACCCGGACATTAATGACCTAAAACTAACACAAAATTACTAACACAAAATTCGCTTGATGGGGTTTTGTATTGATACGAAATTTTATTTGTGTCGTATGATGTGTTAGATCTGCATGTAAAAAAACATTTAGTAAATAAAACATAAACATATAATCGTTGAGTATCTCACATTAATACAATGTAAGTAATAATTAGAAATACTAATTTAAATATAGGATTTTAAAAATTAAGCTAAAAATTACTCGGCCATTAATGACCAAAAATTAACACAAAATTCGCTTGATGGGGTTTTTTTTTATTGATACGAAATTTTGAATATAAATAAATTGTAAATGTGATTTTTTTTTCCGTTATATAAAATATTTAATGTGAAATGATAAATTTTTAATAATTTAAATCCTAAATCATTATTCATTGTTTTACCATATCTTTTATTTCGATAGAATCACCAACCTTGTCCACAACTAACCTACACTACTACATTTTTTTACCTATTGCAACCCTCAAATCCGTTGCATTAGGCGTCAAAATCCGTGACATTAGGCCTAATGCAACGGCCATGTACCGTGGCATCTGATGGAATTGCAGTAGGTCTAATGCAACGACATATGACACTTAATGCCACGACATCAATGATCTGTTGCATTAGATCAACACCTGATGCAACGGCAACATTATTGTCGTGGAGTTAGCTATAATGTCTAATGCCACGGTTTGCTATACCTACTGCCACGGTTCCCTATACCCTAATGCCAATAATAATAATCAAATTTTTTTTAAAAAAAACCAGAATTTATTAACATAAATTAAAAGTTTGTACATTGTTATCTATAAGAAAAATTCCATAATTAAACCATCACTAGTTAAACTAAGAAAAAAACAATTAAAATGTTAAAACAAAATCATTTTGTCCCCCAAACCATATTTTCATCAATTTTTGGACCGCATTATCATTTCTTTCTCCCACTTCTCCAATTTCTCAAGTAAAGCAATTTGGGAAGCACCTTCTTCAACTTCAGTATCCACCTATTTTACTAGTACTTGATGATGTTGAATGCTGCTGGAGCTCTTTGCAACTCAGTGTTCAAAGTTTCCTTAATCGAGTCCAACTCTTGTCATAGCAATCGTTGATGTGCTCAAGTAATTGTTTACACCAACATCATCCTAAATATAGGTCAGTTCATTCTTATCGTCAAAAACTAATTAGCTCATGAATAATAATTGCAAGCTATACCAGTAAAAAAATCAAAGTCAAAAAACAGTGTACTCAATTCCCTACAACCTGCATATATCAAATAAAACCCAAAAACCTTATAAAAACACAATCCAATTTCAAGAATTCAGAATAAAAAAAGAATATAAACATCCATCATTCGTCTTTTCTCATATATAATTCAAGCAAAAAAAAGAAGTAAAAAATAAACTCGAAGTTCCAAAAGTATATTCGTGTACCTGCATGCTGTTCAATAACCATATTTTTGTTCCAAGCACATAGGATAATCAACAACATAGAAAACACTATCTTACAAAGCCATCAGCTAATATGCTATTAGATAAGACTAGCTTTTAAACAATCATCACATTCAACAGGGCTTATGACAGATACCAACTTCAAAACTTTGAAAGCTTCTCTTATAATAAGCATCATTAGAATAACAATAATCCGTCTTTAAGGAGGCTAAACATAATCATATACTTGTAGGTTTTTTATTCTCTCTTAATCTCTCACTCCCTCTCTCAAATGACTTAGACAAGAGTGAGATATTATTCATATTTAATTAAAAACAATCGAACAACTATATTATTTGCAGAATTAAAATAAGAAAAATTCAGAACAAGAGTTCACTAAGACTGACCTGATTTCACAATTTAGCTAAAAAGAAACGAGATAGAATTAATTGGTTTTAATTACCTTAGTTGTACAAAAACATGTCACACATTTTTGGTTTACTAGTTTATAAGCTTAAAATTACTGATACATACAAATGTAGCTTAATTTTACGGATATAAAGGAGTCATAACTCAAAGAAACACCAATTGAGAGGAAAATTATTATAGGAGTCATAACTCAAAGAAATACCAATTGATAGGTTTTTCTAGTAATGCTCAATGTATAGTTTGGACAGATTTGAAAAGGATATCTAGAATTCTAGATATATTTGCATCACAAAATCTAAATGCAGCTTACTAGAACAGTCAGGTATTAAATTGCCTAATCTTATTCAATAGATTTATCAAATTTAATCATAGAATGTCCATAATGCTCATTCTTCAACCTACCACAAAACACATTGGTCTTTTATCACAGAAAACCGCTTGCAGGAAAAGAAAAAAGAAAAACAAATTGTAAAGTATCTCCTTCTGCTAAAGCACGCATCTGAAAAGTGTCAGTTAGAAGAAAGATAACAAAAAGACCTGTAAAGTTTTTTAGACTAGATTACTCGTGAAATCAGAACAAATACTTTCCTGTGCAATCAAGCAAAGTTGTTTCAACTGACAGTGTTCACCAAATCAACAAGAGAATAAGCAAGCAATAAAGCACTTGAACTAAACCCAGAAATCAATCTTCTCATTTTTAAGGAATTCTTATAAGCTGCAGTATGTATTACCCATATTAGTAGCAATGTTTTCCCTTTTCTCTCGTAAATATTCTTGATCAAATCGAAAGCTCAATGCACTAGAATGAGCAACATTGATCTTGGATTCCTGTAAGTCTATAAATGGAAAAGGCAAGGCAATCTATGACTTTATGGGACTGACACGGGCCTTAATTCATGTCGCGGTAGTAATAACTGGATTCCGAACCTAAAAATGTGCAACTCTCAAAGCGACTACAAGCTTAAACATGTGGATACTTTTACTAAAGTTTTATCATCACCAAGAAGAGTTCAGATTACACACAGATAACAATTCACAACTGCACATTTCAGATTCAGGGCATTAAAGTTCAATCGCGAGAACAAGAAATTCGATATAAAACCTCTCCACAAAGTACTAAAATTGCAATCAATTAAGTAAGAATTCTATCAACAAGCAATTCTAAAATCATTCAAAAAGCAAAATCAAACAATAACGCAATTACAGAATTTATAGCAAATAAACCCCAAAAATAACACTAATAAAGTAATCAACTCAGAACCTAAATAATTAAACCCTAATTATACAATCAAATGAACAATACATATAATAAATACTTATAATTAAACCCTAATTAACCTAATTAAACAAATTCTCATTGTTACAATACATAGAAAACATCTGATAACTCAAAAATTTAGAAAATAAACATCAAAACATTTCCAGTGAACACAAGATAAAGCAATCAAAATACACAACCTAGCAAAAATAGTTAATAAGACTCATAAATTCCCCAAAATTAGACATAAATCTGAAATCATATAAATCAAAGCCTAAACATGGACTTGTTTTTTAGCAGATTTTTCTGTTTCCTGATGAATGCAAAAGAGATGAATTAGAGATGAGCGAGAAAGAAGAAAAAGGAGAGATAAAGAGAGAAGGCTTACTCAAAGATCAGGGCACAAAGCTGGAGTTTGAGCGACGTTAGTTCAGCAACTCTCCACCACCGCCATCAATTAGAAATCGAAACTCACCATCGCTGCTCTCCACCACAGCCAATAGTTACAAATCGAAACCCCAGAAATCGAAAAAAATCAAAAATTTGAACTAGTAATTATGCAAAGGAACCCTAAATTTGAAATTTAAAGAGGAAAGTTTAAGGAAACTCATACCATGAACACCAATCAAAACCCTAAAAATCAAACCGCACCGTCGTTATCACTCGCGACCACAATCACCGCCATGACCATCAGTGAATGAGGAGGGAGAAGAAAGAAAGAGAATTTGATTTGTGAGCGATGGTGGTTGTGGATGTGGTTGCGGCTGCGGCGATGGTTGCCTTCGTCTTTGAGGAAGAGAAGAGGGAGAAGGAGAGAAAGAGAGAGGAGAGAGAACTGAGTAGTGAGGTCTGAGGAAAGTGAACTTTAAGCGCATTTTCATACGGAGTATTTAATATCATTGTCATGGCAATAGCCTTTCAGGTCGTTGTATTAATACACCTAATGCAACGGCTTCTTAAAGCCGTTGCGTTAGCTCCACCTTTTGATGTACAAAGTTTATGCCGTTGTATTAGGATTATCTAATGCAACGACGATAAAATGAGCCGTTGCACTAGCTCTTTTTTAGCCGTTGCATTTGATTAAAAATGTAGTAGTGCTACTACATCAACACATAAATTATGTTAGCCAAACCGAAATTGATATAAATTACATTTTTATATTTATATAAAATAAATCAATATATTTACCAATAAATGAAAATCTGTTGCGATATAAAATCAAATTTGTATTTCTTATCATAAATACTATCAAAATTTATCTTATAATGATAGGTATCAAACTTTATTATAAGCGTTTTTCATTTGAATATTTTTTTAGTATATTTTTTTTGGATTTCTAATAAGTATTATTGAATCAATAAATTTATCTTTTACTTTATTTTTTTTCATTAAAATAATTTAATTCGTGGATTATAATCTACGTGGCATTAAAATTTTAGATATATCAAATCTAATTCGTTACTTTTATCTAGGTGGGGACATAATTTTTTAATTCAAAAATAAAATACAAATCTTTCTTCTTATTGGTCGAAATAAGTATATTTCTTACGTGGCGCTTCGAATACTCAAGTATATTTCTTACGTGGCTCTCTAAATACTCTCCAAAAATGCCTACTTTATTTATATATATTAGATTAGATTACCTTGAGAGTTTGAGACATGATAACAATTGTTTTTATATATGTATAAGCTCAACGATTAGTACATGAACAATATAAAAGACAAACTTGAGGAACGACAATTTTATATAATTGTTGTGCACTATGTAATGTACTTCACATGTTTTTTTTTTTTTTTTTTTTTTTTTTTTTGCCTTTTTTGCAAGGTTAATTTATTCTTAATTAAGAAGAATTAAGGTGACTGACTCAACTTAAATAGAAGTTGATTGTATATACATATATAGAAGAGTATGATAACAATTTTTGAAAATAACCTTAGTCCTATGTTATCCAAATTTAGTACAATACTTCATGTATAAATCTCTAAAGGATTAAAATGTGCGAAGTATATATTAAATATCGACAGAAAGGGAAGGTGTTATATTATGGATGTGAGAGGCAAATAATATAGAGGAGGATTATAATTGTCCATATGAGATTCATCTATATATCATATATATATATATATATATATATATATATATATATATATATATATATATATTTTTTTTTTTTTTTTATTGTGTCAATTTTCACAAGTACTTACGCAAAAATGATTAAATAGGAGAAATCTTTTGTTCAACTTATAGTTACATATATAAAATGATATGGAGTGATATTTTTACTAAGCTAGCAAAATTATCAAAGTCAAGTAGTTTTTAAAAAAGTGATACTTTTATCTATAGATAAAAATTTGAATACAATTCCTTCGTTCACATTAGTACATTTCATTGATGATGGATATCGTTGATAAGTGATAATAATAGTACTACATCAATTGTACTCCGTACCTTTTTTTTTCCCCCTAACTCAGCTAAATGGCTAGAAATAATTATCAACTTGACATCAATTGATCCTAATACTGAGGTTTGGTCGTAATATTCTTTCACTCACACTGATTAATTCTGAGTTCTTGAACAAACGATCCTAGTTTTCAGTCTTTGTAACCTATTCAGCTAGCTATTCACTTGCTTTTTTTTCCCTAATTTTAGAGGTGATAATTTGAAAATTTTGCCTTTTAATGATATGTAGTTGAATGTGTAAATTTTTAAAATAAATATTAGAATTTTATGATTATCAATTAATTATTATGAGAGCTAAAAAATGTACTAGTAATATATGTCAGGGTTGTTCATCTCAAGTCCCACATTGAAGGAGTAAGGAGGTGAAGAGCTCCTAATAAGTGAGTGCACACTCCATTGGTATGAGGCTTTTTGGGAAGGTGGCTAAAAACAAATCTGTGTAGGCTAGATCCAAAACGGACAAAATCATACTAATATGGAGTTGAGTGGAGTGTGCGGCCCGGCAAGGTGGGTAACTTAGGCCCAACAAGTGGTATCAGAGTCAATGATTCGGCGAGATAAAAATGGGCGCTATGTGTGTGGGACGGTTCCCTCAAATGTGTGGTCTCCCGGTTGTGGTGCCTTGCGTCGAAAGTCCTCCTGATATTGTGGCTCAGGCGGCGTGTCCCGTGGTGATAGCGACGTACAGTGCAAGATAGTTTCGCTGGAGGGCAGACCATGAGTTATGTGGTCTTTGGTCTGAGGGGAGGTTTGTTGGAGTTGTTCATCTCAAGTTTCACATGGAAGGAGTAAAGAGGTGAAGAGCTCCATAAGTGAGTGCACACTCCATTAGTGTGAGACCTTTTGAGAATGTGCCCAAAAACAAAACCGTACGGATTAGGTCTAAAGTGGACAAATATCATACTAATGTAAAGTGCAGTGTTCGTGCGGCCCAACAAGGTGGGTGACTCAGGCCTTCATTCTTTATATATTGCAACAATTTTCTTTAGGAGAGTTATACTTTCATTGCAGACAATTCTCTTGTAAAAACATTTACAAATAAGGTGTCAACTCTGCTCTAATGTTGATCATTTCTTTTCTCTGTTCATATTCTTAACTACATAGTATGTAGATAACCACATCAATAAGATTGATCCATTCAGCTTTTTTTCCACCTTAACCTTAGGTCCTGTTTATTTTACCTTATTTTTGCTTATTTGAACTTATTTGATCTGATCAGGTCTAATATAATCTTATCTTATCTTATTGTTTGATTTGACCAAACTTTGACCTTAAGTGTACGATAATCTGTAAGGAAAAAATATATCAAGTGGGATCTTATTAGATTCGTAATAGTGTGAATTTTATTAATATGTAATTTTCATAATTTTTTTCATTACGAAATTAAAGATATTTAACGATAAAAAATTGCACATAAAACGATGATCTGATCTAAACTTATTTTTTCTGAAATAAGTAAAAATAAGTTGAACTAAACAAGGCTAGTATCAAAACCCATACATGAATTATTCAATAGTATAGATAAAAATGACAAGTACGAGATCAATTGAAAGAAAAGAAGAGAAATGTTTTTTTGGTTCATATGAGCCACTTAGGGCGGGGATGAGAATCGATCCCAATATCACCTGGAACCGGGAAAAAAGCTCTTACCAACTGAGCTATCCCTCACTCTCAAAAGAACAGAAATGTGATAATATACAATATATATATATGTCGATATGAATATATAATGCATTGGACGGACTATATAAAAGAATGAACGGGGCTTGGCCCCTGATAGATTTATAAAAAAATAAAAATTTACATGTAAAGGGCTGATATAATTATACTTGTATTCCAATAAGATAATATTGGGTAAAAATGTGAAATGCCCAATAAAATACAACTAGGAATAACTGACTGCCTTTTTATTTACTAGAAAGAGTATAAACTAGAAAAGCTTGACTACACTCATGACTCATTCCTCTAACCGTTTTCAATGATACTTTTCCCAATTCCAATGTATTTCATATTTTCATGATTTTCGTCTACAATCATCACTTCATCAGGTAATTTACGAGTTACGGAGTATATTATTGTTTCAATTCATTTTTTTTAAGGAGTAATTATTTTATGAATTCAATTTTCAATTATTTTTTTGTGTAGTCAAATTAGTACTCTGACTAATTTTACCACTCAAAAACAAATTGATGATTGTATAGTAGGTGATAAGATGATATTGAGGTAATAGATTGCTGACTATAGAGTTTTTTCCTTCGATATATCAGTTTTTTTAAAAAAATTATCTATCGATTGTCAACTTGTTATTTAACTTTTACAATACTTGTGATTTGTGAATTGTGATGCATTGATAATAACTAAATTAAGTCACTGCTAAACATATGAAAGTAAGGCATATTCATTCAATAATTACTTTATGGGTTTAATTGTTTAGAGTTAGTTTCTTATTTTTGTTCATATTATAATCCTAACATACCAATACTTATTTTATTATTTTTTGTTTTAGATATATATTTATGTTAAAAAAATAATTGGCCCCCAAAAAAAAAATGTTCAAGATCAGCCACTAGGTACTCCCTCTAATCCTTAAAGATTATCCAATATAGTGATATACGATACTATGAAAACTTGATAAATATACATGTCACGAAATTGAAAAGGTGACTTTTAGATTTAGAAGAGGACGGTGACGGTGACGGTGACGGTGACGGTGATGGTGATGGTGATGGTGATGGTGATGATGTGTACGTATGCTATGTGTATAATAAGTATGGTCGAATATCGTACAATATAGTTGCGAAATATCAAAAGAGAAAAAGCACATGGAATGGCATCTGATTCTAAAAGAAATAAAAAGAAATACACACAAAAAATAAAATAAAAATAATAAGATAATACTTATTTTTGCGGCTCCCTAGGTATGATGACATGCATGGTGACGTATATCTCCCTACATTATGCTGTGGCTCAATCCTCCAAAACCCCCACCACCATCTTTTTGCTCATATCCTTTCCCTATTTTTAATGCTTTGCCATGTAATTATCCTTTTTTTTTCCTTTTGATGATTTCAATAATTGATTAATGCGGTGGAGTGGATTAGATTGAGGCATGAGTTTTCTTAATTTGTAATTAATTATAGTGATTAAAGGGTTAACTAGTAATTTTCTAAATCATCCAGGTATTAAGGGCTTGTTCTAGCTCTTTAACTTATTTCGAATACTTATTTTAGATTTTTGTTAAGATCAGAAAAATTTAGATTAGTTCAGACTAGAAAAATTTAGAACAAATCAGATAGACTTTTTAAAACAGTGACATCAAATAAAAAATTCAAATCATACTAAATCTTAAAATATTTAGACAAAACCTGATTTCAGGTGAAGAGATCGAGTTCTAATTCATGAGTTTGAATAACAGACTTTACAAGAACGTAATAATGAGTACCGGTTATATTGGGCCAACCATAATATAATAGACGAGAAAAGGCTTGAAAATGACGCCAGCTTGCTAAGTCTTTAAAAGATGATCTAGAACACTCTTTAAATGTACTACAGTAAGGAGAAAATAGTTGGAACAAAGTCATAAAACTTGCCGATAAATTCTTGTATGTGCATGTATGCTAATTGTTAAGTAGTACGAAGTACTAAGGATCTAGAAGATGGAGGGATAGTTCCCCTAAACGATGGGGTTCAATCCTACATCCCCCATTTTTTTGATAGGATGGGTGGTCTTCTTCATATCTTACCGTTTAGAAAAAAAAAATTGTTAAGTGTTACTCCCCCGTTCTCCATTTTGTAATAATCACGCTACTTTTTTTTTTTTTTTTCATCTATTTCGTTATTTTTATAATACTTGCAAAGTTGCAATACTTCCTTGTTTGGTAAGAATCCACTACTGTAATGAGTAAAAATGTTCTTGACATTTAAAGATGTCCATTATTTGGAATTATACTGTTCAATTCGAAACTTTATTATTTCGATTTTTTAAAAAATCAGAGTGAAATTGAATATTCGATGGAGTTCAATATTTTCATGGAGCTTGATGCAACCCTGTAATATACTTCCTCCGTTTTCTTTTAAACGCTACACTTTGACTTTTACACTATTCATATATTTGATTTTGACTAGTTTTGATGATTTATAGCAAAGAAAAAATAGTCATGTAAGATTTTGTTAGATTCGTCTTGATTTATACTTTATTAATATCAAATTTATATAATTTAACATATTAATGATTGAAACCATATATTGACAAGCGTGTAATTAGAAGTGTTGTATTTAAAAGAAAACAGATGAAGTATTTCATAGTATAAAATTTTATATGTGAACACAGATATATTCAAAGTAGAAGAACAAAAAGAATAGAGGTGGCACTAAGTAAATCATTAAAATTAACACACATGAATAGTTAAAAAAAAAAAAAAAAAAAAAAAAAAAAAAAAAAAAGACACAACCTTCTTCATGACTAAACTTGGACTGTTTTAGAGCTACTCAACTACTAATTCAAACCCTCACATTTAGTGTTTCACCAATTCACCTTTGAGTTGCCCCATACATGTACTCATATAGAAGATTTGTTAGTAGAGGTTGGGCAGGCCGGGCCTAAGCCTAAAATATTAACCCATCAAGTCATGTCGGGCCATGTTCTGATTAGCGGGCTTTTCAGATCGGGCAAAAAAAACCTAAAATCTATGGAAAGCTTGTCCAAGGCTCGCCCAAAAAAATATTTTCGGGTCAAGTTTGAGCTGAATTTCTCCAAAATCAAGCTGAGTCGGGTTGAGTTGGGTCGGCCCCATCTTGATTAAGTCTATTTATTAGGTACAATTACCATTACTGTTACCGAGTGTTTGGTTAATTGGAAGATTTATTAGGTACTATTACCATTACAGCATTACCTAAGGCCAAGGGTAATAGTTATCACCTATTTATTACCTCATTAAAATCTATGGTAACAATTAAGAAAATGAAAGAAAGTTAAGTTTAAGCGATTTTTTAATGGTTAAACAAGGCGTTTTGAACTAGACTAGACCGAAGATCGTTTGTCCGAACTGGTTTTTAACCAACCCTATCCACGGAACCCTGGAAACCATTTGAACGGTTGGAACCTTCTAATTTGCCTTTAAACTATTAATTTAAAGATTATGTATCCAGTTTCATTAATACAAGGTCAATCCAAACCACAGGGACAAATGATGAGAATCGATCCTGGAATCCCTTGAAAACGAAAGAGAAGCTCTAATAACATGAGCTATCCCTCACTCTCCTAAATAAATTTTTATTTAACCCAAAACTCAATAAAGACTTTATTTCACCTGAAACTCTTTCGTTTAACTTTTATCTAATTATATATTTGTTTTAATCAATCAAAATCCCACTATTTTTTATTAATCACTTTAATCTCACAAACCTTACTTTTTTTTTTTTTTTTTGTACTTTTATATATTTTCATCCTCACAACACATCTTGTGTGCGGTTGACCACACCATGTGGCCACTTATAAAAAAACAAAATAACCCCTATAACACTGACCGAGTAACCCTTATAATACTGACGAAGTAACCCCTATAACATTGACAAAGTATACTGACCGAGTAATCCCTATAACACTAACGAATAACCCCCCATGATGCCTGACCACATGTAAGAATTTGTGTCATCCTTAATAAGCCAAACCCCACTTTATATTCTATCCAACTTTATTTTGAGAGTATAATGATTTGATTTGTAAAAACCTCATATCTTTTGGATGCATATAAAACACAATTGATTTATATATATTACTCAGTATACAAGCATTACTTTACTTATTATGGATTTGTCTGAAACAAACTAAAAGCCATGGTGAACGCTAGACGTCCTTGAAAGTCTCAAGATGCTACTAGACTAGCTCCAGTTCACTCGGCTTGACATGCTCATGTAGTCGAAGAGATTGTACCCCAAGCTCAAAGTGAGCCCGTAGGAGAGGTGACTAGCCCCCATGTAGTCATTCGTCGGGATTTGGAACAGCTTGCAGCCCTAATCAACAAAAACCCTTGAGGAAAGCCTAAGGGCACTTGTCAACCACGGCGGGGGGTAAGGTAGGATGGGAGACACTCCCTAGCTGAGCTCTCAACCTCACTTGTCCTAGCCCCATTAGGCATCCTCTCGGCCTCAGCACCAAGAATCTCATCGGTCACGACTGCACCAATCTCCTGTGGCTCAGCGTGAGTCGGGTCAACCGAGCCGACAAAGAGATGTCAGAAGGAGGAATTGATAGACGCCCGTGAGATAATAAACTTGAGTTCACTCTCAGCATGGCTCAACTAGGTACCATGATAGCCTGGCCAACTCAGCCACTTCACGGCAAAGGAGAAGAGCCTCCGCTCGGCCTGCTCGCTCAACAAGTGGAAGTCTTGAACGTTCCCCCTCTCCCGAGCTGGGGAGGCTTGAAACTGTTAAGAACATCACTCCCTTCAGCCAAGAGATCATGAACACCCTGATTCCTCTGAAGGTCAAGATACCTACTTTGGAGCCCTAAGATGGTATAACCGACCCGACAGACCATTTGAACGCTAACAAAGCACAAATGGGCGTCCAAACCGGGTGTGAGGCATCATGGTGTAGGTTCTTTCCTACCACCCTCAAGGGCATTCCTCAGACATGGTTCAATTACCTCGCCTCGAGGAGCATCAAAACATTTGAGAAGCTATCCAACTTGTTCAAGAAGCATTTCATTGCTAGTTGTAGGCAGACGAAAACTAGCGTTCACTTGATAATTGTGAAACAAGGGGAGAATGAAAGTTTGAAAGACTACATCAAGAGATTCAACACCGAGCCTCAGCTCATACCTGACCTCCTTCTCTGAGGCTATGGAGAAGGCCGAAAGAATCATTGAAGCAAGTGATGTTTGCAAGACCCCCTTAGCTAAAGAGAAAGCCCAAGGACAAAAAGCCCAGGAGGGCCAAGAGTAATGATGAAGGGTTTAGATACAATGCTGATAGGCATGAGATCTACATGAACATAAAAAACAAGGTTATCCTCCCTAAGTCGAATCCAATGAACACGCCAATAGAACAAAGGAACAAAACACTAGTAAAAAAACGCAAATGGCAAGCGGTTCAAAACCCCTTATGGATAGTGATTTTGAACCGCTGGCCCTAAGGGGGTCGCCCACTGCCCTAATTAAATGGGCAGCGGTACAAACCGCTTCCCATTCATAGGAAATGTGCAGCGATTCACTCAACAAACCGCTGCCCATTTGTTCTTTACAGGTTAATTGTCAGGCATAATGGGCAACGGTTTGGCCCACAGAACCGCTGCCCTTTCATATATATATATATATTGTTTTTTTTTTTTTTTTTTTTTTTTTTTTTTTTTGCTTTTTTCACCTAAATTGATTGCCAAACACTTATACATATACATAATAAACATAAAACTCATATATTCATAAAAAAATCTGTAATTTTACATTTGAAAAAATATGAAAAAAAATATCAGCAAGGGCTCAACCAGGGGCTTCAATTGCAGGCTATCAGCACTAGATGCCAACTTGCAGAGCCTTTTTGTATCCATTTGAATGAACTTTTCATCAAAGGATTTCCGTTCCTAAGGAAATAAAGACATGTCAGGCTATGCATTTGCTTGTATCTGAGATACTAAATAGCCTAAAAAGGTGAATTCTTCATTTAAAAAATTAATAAAAGTCACTCTCTACATCTAAGAAATAGTCTATCATCAATCACCACCTCTTGTTTAACTTGTTGAATAGAACCATCAGCAATCTGAAGCCAAAAGTAAGACTTCATCATCTGAGCATATATTGGAGCAAGTAAACTGTCAAGATTTCCATGAAATTCATCATGATGAAAAACAGGAATGTCAGTGGAAGACCAGCACAAAATAAGAAACGATTCTATGTTTCAGTGGGGCAAAAAATTCAACTAAGCACATTCCATTTTAAACAAATTTAACCAGTATCACACAGCCTAGGCATTGTTCTTGAAATACTCAATTATCATAAAAGGAAGATTTACAATATTTTTGTAAGAAATAATAGCCAAGCCGATTACATGAATCATCCTAAGTTCCGTGAGCAAATTACAATGAATTTAAGACAATGAGTGGATAGTGGAGACTACAATGACACTGGTAGATACAATGAATAAAGGATATAGCCATTGCCATTTATGTTTGAACTCATTGAACCCTTTTGATTAAGTAGTTCTTTAGAACTTGTTAAATCAAAAACTGAAAATATAATTTTGAAAAAGACACACACCTAAACACAGGTATACAAAGCTCAAATGACTTGACGACTTGGCCATGCTCTAAAGTTCCAATCACATAGTCATAGGCCTCATAGCCACCCTACAAGCAAAGATAAAGGCATTCAATTACGATGAAACAAAAGAAAAAATAAGCTTCCACAACTCTTCAAACAATTAGAAGCATAACAAAGTCATGCACTTTGAAAATTGAGATCTTATAGCTCATTTTGAGATGTGTCGATGAGATACATAAATACTTTTTATCTTGTATCATTCAAAAGTTAGCGCCCAAACAATCAGAGATATAGAGCGGGATTCTCAAGAGGTCAGAAATGATTCAATGAATAGTTGCAGAAAATAGTTGAAAGAGGTCAGACTATATGTCAAGATCTTGCAAAAAACATATGAGAATTCAAGTCAACTCAATATTACCACCAACTCTTGTACGAATAACATCATGCATCATCTAAAGAGTTGTGCAACGAAGACTTATTTAATAGATCATGATCAAGATCCTATTTCCAGACACCATGTATGTATGACAAAACCATATTGCCCCTGACCACCACAATCAATCCACATATGCATTCAAATTGGCAATTAGAAAGCAGAAGTTAGATGGTGAAACTTAAATTGGCAAGGCAGCAGCAGCCTTGCGAGGCCAGCAGGAGAAGGAAGGGAGTGACGTAGGGAGTAGTACAAAAACATTTATTAAACTAACATAATCAAATCCATAATTATAATTAGCCAATATTTCTTCCCATAAACAAACAAATTAAACCTTAATCAAACCAAGAACTAACAAACAAACCCAGAATTTATAACAAGACTACCAACAAGAATTTAACCCAGAATTAATAATTACTGTAAAAGACCCCAGAATCATAAAATAATCAAACCATAAGCAATCAAGAATCAATAACCCAAATCAAAATATACCCAGAAAAATACACAAGTGATCAAAATAACCCAGAAAAACACACAAGTAATCAAAATCAACCCAGAAAAGTACACAAATAATCAAAATTAACCCAGAAAATCCCACAATTAATTTATCTAAAAAAAACCCAGAATCACAAAACAAGCTAATCATATGAATAGACACACAATTAATCAAAATTAACAGAAAAATTTAAGCAAAGAGCACTAGACATAAAAACCAAATACAACTATATTCCTAAATTTCATAGTAGGCGAATTAAATTATTCAAGTATTTATAAACAAAAGTTAATAATTAGAACCCTAAATTGACTATACCGGATTGAATTAACGAAACCCTAGGTTGTGAAATTGGTAGTAGATGGTTAAAGCAAAAAATCAATTTCACCTGAGACGCTGCTTTAATGGAGGAGAGAAACCAAGGATTCAGAGTTACAATGGAGCACCTCGGGATTAACGAGCACCTTCCGCTTCGCAATCTGCCCACCAATCTATCTCCATTCTTCGTATATGCCACCACCGACGAAGATCTGCAGAAAAAAAAAACCGGAAAAAAATAATCTAAGAAGTAGAATATGCAGAAATTAAAGAGAATTAAAGAAGAAGGAGAAACTCAAGGAGCTGCAAGCCTGCAAGATCTGGCTGGTAGTGAATAGAGAGAGTGAGAGAGAGAGAGAGAACGAAATGAAAAAAAGGAGAGAGAATATATTAGCTACGCTAATAGGGCGTTTGGAATGTGGGAATGGGAGTTTGGAGGGAATTTATGAAAATATACCAATATTTTGTTTGGATAGTGAATTGAAATAGATAAGGAATTAATAACACTTTTACAAATTTACCCTTACTAATATTTCCTTTCATTGTTTTAAACTTATTCCCATTCCCATCCATTTATTACCTACCCTCCCTAGGTAATAAAATGGTGGGAATTCTCCCCTAAATATTCTCATTGTCATCAAACAAACAAATTTTTTTTTCTTGAATTGAGATTAAAACTCCCAATCCCACCCTCAATTTCCAAATACCAAACACCCCCTAAGAGTTGAGAGGGAGGAGAGAGGGAAAATAAACTTAATAAGAAACTAATAACATAATGGCCAGCGGTTCAACTTTCAAACCGCTTCTCATTTGTATCTTTATTTATTTTTTAAGCTAAAGTGGGTTTTTGAGCAGCGGATTTCAATAACCACTTTCCATTTGTGGCTGGCCATTTGCTTTTTTCTACTAGTGAAAAGCTGTGGTGTGAGTACCATCGAGAGTGTGGTCATACCACTCGGTATTGTCGTGAACTCAAGAGAGCACTTGATAAGCTAGTAGATGAAGACAATCTTAACCGGTACCTCAAGCATCCTCTAAGAGACAAACAAAGAAGCAAAGCTTCCAGAGTCGCACAAGAGGTTCATAGATCAGCCAACACCAACATAAGCATCAATATCATAGCAGGAGGATATGCCTCCTAGGGCTTGTCTAATAGAGCACGGAAAAACCATTTGCGGTCGCTTGAGGAGCGTATCTATGATATCGTCACCCTCTCATCCACCCCTAAGGACTATATCATGGTCTTTGGGGATGATGCTGCAAAGAAGATCCAAAGGCCCCATGATCACCCTCTAGTGATTCATATGAAGGTGGACAACGCTCGGGTTAAGAAGATCTTAGTGGATAATGGGAGCTCAACTGACATAATTACTTGGAAGTGCCTTGAACAAATGCGCTTTGGCAGAGGAGACCTCACACCCCTTGACAAGCCATTAGTCGGCTTCGGAGGCAACATGTTTTTCCCTTGGGAACAATCAAGCTACCTATCCGCCTAGGGGAGTGATATGTTCATTTTATATAGTGTTTTACCCCCGTTCCTTGGTCATATTTAGGAGTATTTTTGGCTCTTTAGAGCCACTTTTATTACTAATAGGCGTATTCTAGTGTTTTCGTAGATGTGGTATTGTTTTATAGGAAATTGCAGATTTGGAGCATTTTCCTGGACTTATGGGAGCCACTACGAGCATTAGAGATATATATGGCCATTTTCCGTAGCCCAAGACCGGTTAGAGTTATCAAATCAGTGATTAAGGGCTCGACAAAGAAGAGATTGAGGCATTGGACCGAGCTATAAAGGCCCCAAAGAGAAAATCCGGATTGGGCCAAGAAAATGGCCTAATCAAAGATGATCCCTTGCCCGAGAGCTCGCCTGACTGGGTAGTGGCCTCGCCCTAAGGCTCGCTCGATCGGGCGAGGAAGAAAGAAGAAGAATGCTTCGCCTTGGTTCGCGCCCGACCAGGCGTGAGCGAGACTCCACTGAAGCAAAAGGGCGGGCCCGACCGGGCGAATCTTTGCCCGATCGGGCGCGTGATTCTGAAGAGGGTTTCGAAGATTTTTTACTTTGTTTTTAATTAGGATTTTTTTATTTTTTTTTTTAGCTTAAGTATAAATGAATTTTGTTAAGCTAGATACGGGTACCTCTTCTCATTAGTTAATTTCTCAGATTTAGCTTTAGGCTTTGGATTATTACTATTGTTCTCTCTCTACACTTTTGGTTTATGCAATTCATTATTTCCATTTACTTTGGTAACAATTTCTTCCCCTTTCATTTTCGGTAATTTAATTGCTTTGCTTAATCATGTCTTGTTTATTTGCTTTGCTTAGTTTAGATTTTAATATGTATGAGTAGATTTATTTCTAGGGTTGTGGGGATCCATAAATAATATGAAGGGGTGAATTATTATTGTTGAATTTCAATGCTTTGATTGATTTCCTATTGATTGATTTAATGGTATGCAATTAGATTAGGCCTGGTTTAATTGTATGAGTTTTGCAATATTGATTCGAGATTCGAGAGATGAGAATTAATGTTTAGGCTTAGTTTTAATAGGCAAGTTAATTTATAAATGGTTAAGTCAAGATCCGATAGATGCGTTTTAATGCCGGTAGATTAATTCTGTGATTGTAATACGTAGCGAAAACCCTTTATGATCTGATTAATTGATGTATTGATGATTGATTACTATGTTTTACCCTGAAATATTATTTATTGGTAAACCTATACCCTAGGATTTGTTTTATTATTATTCTAATAATTCTTAATCGTGTTAATTTAATTAGTTCCTTTAGTTTATTTCCATAAAAAATAAATTGGTTACTTAATAGTTTAGATTATATAAATTAATTAGGAATAGAAAGACTTGTTTCCTTGTGGATTCGACCCTACTTCCCTATCTGATTTAGTTAGAGGACTTAGGTAATTTGATTAGGAGATACGGCTTTATCTTGTGAGGGAGAAGGGTAAAGGAAGAAGCTCCAATTCACATTCTTAGTTGTTGACACCCCTCTTCCATACACTTGCTCAACAAGGTCAAAGCCGCCATCTCAACCTATCATTTACTTCTCCAATTCGAAACTGATTATGGCTCTGTTGGGAAGTTATATGGAGATCAGTATGAAGGGAGGAGATGTTACGTGTACAGCTTGAGACAACCTAAAGCCTCGGTCAATCAAAAGGATAAGGGGTCCAAGCGGAAAACAATGGAGGTAGATGAATCACCACCACCGGTGATGAGTATATACATGGCTGAGAATGTAATACCCCGTATTTTTTAGACATATTTTCTAACTAATTAATTATTAATAATTTTCTAAAAAGGGTATTTCAGAAAATTATTTTCTATTTGAATTTTGGAGCCAAAATGATATGTGAATTTTGGCGCCAAAAATATTTTTCAAACTTAATTATTATTTTGGATTTTAGATAAGATTTATTATCCACTTATTTTATTTCAAAAACCGAATTATATATAATTCGGATATTTTAATTAAGCAAAAATTATATCTTTCTTATTTATTTAAAAGGGCCGAAAATCTATTTAATTAAGCTAGGAATTTTGGATTTTACTAGGCATAGAAAATCTGATTTTTCATGATTAATTAATTAGTTTAAAGTTGGTATTTTTCTAATTAATTATTTTCTACAAAATATATTATTTACAAAATCATTTTTAATCCTTAAAATCTAGCAAAATATTTCCTAAAACTAAGCAATGAGGTCCGAAAATATGAGCATGAATAGGCTCAATATTTTCGGCCACCTTATGATAATTTTGCTTTAATTATTTTGGTAGTTTTGTATTTTAATTATCTTCTTTAAATTTCCTTATTTCCTTAATTTCTATTTTCCATCTCACAAAGATTTGATCATACAATTTAATTGCCTTAAATCCTTCTTGATTATTCTCCAAGCAAGCTCACTTGCCATCTTCCATTTCATGATCAAGCTACTTATCTTAATTCTTTATTTCTTAATCACCATAAACTAAACCTTCCTTAATTCTTAAACTCTCTTTTCCAAGTAATTCCTTAAACTACATTTACCATAATTCTTCCTACAAAATTTTACCTTAATTCTTTCATTCATGAGCTTATAAATACCCCCTCGTACCTCTCATATTCTTCACACCAATACTCAATTCTCTTCTTCTCTCTTACTCTTCTTTTCCCTTAACCTTTTCCTACTTTTCTTTTCCTTTTTTCTAAAAGAAAATCAGCCCGTATATCTTTGGAGCCAATTTTCGGGAACTTCTGGCCGGTTTTGGGGTTTTTCTATTTCACATAAAGTTGTTCCTCTCGAAAAATCCTTGTGGTTAGGCTCAAGAATCACCCAATAGTTATATGGAAGGAGTTATAGCCTCTGCAAGTTCTGCCTATTCTTTTCAACGCAAATTCAATTCTTTTTAATCCTATTCCTTTATTTTATTCATGGTTAGTTTTCTAAAATATAAATACCTATTTCAAAGCTATAATTTTATACTAAAGTATTATTTTTTTTAAAAGAATTTTGTAGTCCATGCACATTAAATTTGAGTTTATGTCAAAGGACGTTGTGACAACCTTATGGTTATCTTAATTGGAAGGTGTATTCGTGATTGAACTTTGAAAGTGCGAAGTGTTGATTGAGATTCGGAATTTAGGTACATTCAGGTGGCTAGATATCGTCGAAATTGTTGAATGAATAAGCATGTTTGTGTGATTTTAATTAAATTGTTTTGAATTATGATTTATATTAACCTTGAGAATTCATGTTTTAATAAATATGTTTAGAGAATGGATTTCTATCTTGTTTTGAATGGTTTAAAATTATTTATTATGTTTAAAGGAATTTGGTTTTTTTAACAGTATGTTGGATTGATTTGAAGAGTTTTTAGAAAGGTTTGATTTTAAAAGCTTGTTAAATTAAATCCAAAAGGGTTTTTGAGTTATTCGATTATAAAGTTTGATTTTATTCAAAAGAGGAATTTCATGAGAATTATTGAATTATTTATTAAAATCTTTACAAGCATGATTATATATTAATCTCACTATGCGAATTCATTGAAGACTTTGGACTTTGTATGACCTAGTCTTTTCTCAAGAATAGCCTTTCAATATTAAGATACTAGCTTGGGGGGTGTGCACACTCAGGAGAGAAATTGGGTTTTTAAAAAGGAATTGGTTTTTATTACTTGAATTATTATTCAAATTATTATTGAGTTTTTGGAATTGTTTTGAGAATTTTGAGAATTGGTTTTGAATTATGAGGTGTGAGTTATTGAATTAATTATTGGAATTTCATGATTGGTTTTAAAAGCATGTTTGCAAATAAATTGAGTTTACTTATCTTGCACTTATCGTACTTAGCATATTTTGCTAATCCATATTTCCTATTTATTTTGGTTCGCCCTATTTACTTTAATGGTTAGCAGTGTTGATTATTTTCAGGGGGAGTCAATAAATGAGCATTTGGGAGTCCCGGGATATTCTTCACCTAGTTAGGAATGTTGGTCTTTGTTTCTATTTTTGAGTACTCATGACAATGGTTTATAAGTATTAATAAATGAAGAGTTGAGTTTTCCGCTG